GTACATTTTCTAGGTCTGCAATTTCACTTGCCTTGTGGTAGCTGTTAGAGTTGCAGCAATATTCCAGCTAGATGAAAACATGTGATGAAAAGAGTGTCATCGTGGGCTTGGCCTCCCTTAGTTTTGATGGTTCTCATGATTCCCATCCTGTCATTTTTCTAGCAGATGCGATTGATACAATGTTATGGTCCTTGAAGGTGAGATCCTCCGACATGATCACTCCCAGGTCTTTGACGTTGGTGTTTCGTTCTATTTTGTGGCCAGAATTTGGTTTGTACTCTGATGAAGATTTAATTTCCTCGTGTTTACCATATCTGAGTAATTGAAATTTCTCATCGTTGAACTTCATATTGTTTTCTGCAGCCCACTGAAAGATTCGGTTGATGTCCGCCTGGAGCCTTGCAGTGTCTGCAAGGCTTTTCACCGTAGCTGCCTCGGACTTCACTCTGTTGACGACTACTCTCTGTGTTCTGTTAGTGAGGAAATTATAGATCCATCGACCGACTTTTCCTGTTATTCCTTTAGCACGCATTTTGTGCTCTATTACGCCATGGTCACACTTGTCGAAGGCTTTTGCAAAGTCTGTATATATTACATCTGCATTCTTTTTATCTTCTAGTGCATTTAGGACCTTGTCGTAGTGAGCCAATAGTTGAGACAGACAGGAGCGACCTGTTCTAAACCCATGTTGCCCTGGGTTGTGTAACTGATGGGTTTCTAGATGGGTGGTGATCTTGCTTCTTAGGACCTTTCAAAGATTTTTATGATATGGGATGTTAGTGCTATGGGTCTGTAGTTCTTTGCTGTTGCTGTACTCCCCCCTTTTGGGGAGGGGGGCTATGTCTGTTGTTTTTAGTAACTGTGGGACGACCCCCGTGCCCATGCTCCCTCTCCATAGGATGGAAAAGGCTCGTGATAGGGGCTTCTTGCAGTTCTTGATGAACACGGAGTTCCATGAGTCTGGCCCTGGGGTAGAGTGCATGGGCATGTCAATTTATCGCCTGTTCGAAGTCTTTTGGGCGTCAGGATAACATCGGATAGGCTTGTGTTAACCAAATTTTGTGGCTCTCTCAAAAAAAAATTAATTTTGATCTTCGACTCTCAGTCTGGTTAGCGGCTTGCTAAAAACTGAGTCATATTGGGACTTGGGTAGCTCACTCATTTTCCTTGCTGTCATCTGTGTAGGACCCATCTTGTTTAAGTAGGGGCCCAATACTGACGTTGTTCTCGACTTTGATTTGGCTTAGGAGAAGAAATACTTTGGGTTTCTTTCGATTTCATTTATGGCTTTTAGTTCTTCCCGCGATTCCTGACTCCTAAAAGATTCCTTTAACTTAAGTTCGATGCTGCTATTTCTCTGACCAGTGTCTCCCTACGCATTTCAGATATATTGACCTCTTTTGCCCGCTCGTTATTCTTTTCCGTCGCCTGTAAGGGAGCGCCTGTCTCTTTTATTTTACATCTACTCCTCCTTTTTCTTAGAGGAATAAGCCTTTTGCATACTCGAGTGCCACCAAGTTAATCTGTTCTAGGCATAAGTTGAGGTTCGTGTTGCTTAGTATATCTTCCCAGCTTATATCGGTTAGGACTTGGTTTACTTGGTCCCACTTTTTTGTTTTTGTTATTGAAGTTGAATTTGGGAATGCTCCCTCGTGACTAGTCTCATTATGTCGGTCTGGGCTCCACGCATACATGTCTGAACCTCAATTTGTTGTGATCTGAGTATATTGTTTTGATATGGTGACATTTCTTATCAGATCACATTGTTAGTGAAGATGAGGTCTAGTGTATTCTCCAGTCTAGTAGGCTCTATTATTTGCTGGTTTAAATTGAATTTTGTGCAGAGATTTATAAGCTCGTGTGAGTGTGAGTTTTCATCAGAGCTGCCTCCTGGTGTTATTACTGCAACATATTATTTGCTATATTCCTACATTTTAGGTGCCTTAAGTTGAAATCCCCCAGGAGCAAGATGTTGGGTGCAGGAGCTGGAAGATTTTCCAGACAGTGATCATTTTTAACAGCTGTTCCTGGAATTGCTGGGATGTTGCATCCGGAGGCTTGTAGACTACCACAATGACTAGGTTTTGGTTCTCGACCTTTACTGCTAAAACTTCCACTACATCATTTGAGGCATTAAGCAGTTCTGTGCAAACAAGTGACTCTGCAATGTATAATATAATATATATATATATATATATATATATATTATATATATATATATATATGTCGTGCCGAATATGTAAAACTGGTCAATTAGCAAGAACTCATTTAAAATTAAGTCCTTTCTAAAATTTTCTCTTATAGGTTTAAAGATATATTTTTTTCGTTAATGTTGATGTAAAAATTTATAATTTTGCACCAAAAGGAACTTAGAAAACTTACCTAACCTTATTATAACAAGAACAATTTATTTTAAACCTAACCCAACTAAATATATTTTAGATTTGTTTACAATAATTTAATACTAAACAAACACAGTGAAAATACATTTTTTTTCGTTAGGTTCAGAATAATTTTGGCGAAATTATTGCATACACAAATTTTCACTTGTCCTATATGGCAAGATGAGCGTTGCTATTTAAGCCAAGATCGCAAGTTCTGCCTATTCGGCACGACATATATATATATATATATATATATAATATATATATATATATATATATTACCTGGAGTTTAGCTGGAGAGGGTTTCGGGGGTCAACGCCCCTGCGGCCCGGTCTGAGACCAGGCCTCATGGTGGATCAGTGTCTGATCAACCAGGCTGTTACTGCTGGCCGCGCGCAACCTGACGTACGAACCACAGCCCAGTTGGTCAGGTACTGACTTTAGGTGCCTGTCCAGTGCCTTCTTGAAGACAGCCAGGAGTCTATTGGTAATCCCCCTTTATGTATGCTGGGAGGCAATTGAGCAGTCTTGGGCCCCGGACACCTATTGTGTTGTCTCTCAGTGTACTCGTGGCACCCCTGCTTTTCATCGGAATGTTGCATCTCCTGCCGAGTCTTTTCCTTTCATATGGAGTGATTTTCGTGTGCAGGTTTGGTACCAATCCCTCCAGGACCTTCCAAGTGTATGTTATCATGTATCTCTCCCACCTGCATTCGAGAGAATACAGATCAAGGACCTTCAACCATACCCATTAGTTTAGGTGCATCATTGCACTTACGTGTGCCGTGAAAGTTCTTTGTACACTCTCCAGGTCTGCAATGTCGCCAGCCTTGAAGAGGTCCGTTAGTGTGCAGCAGTATTCCAGCCTAGAGAGCACAAACGATTTGAAGAGAATCGTCATGGGCTTGGCATCCCTAGTTTTGAAGGTTCTCATTATCCATCCTATCATTTTCCTAGCAGATGAGGTAGATACATTGTTGTGGTCTTTGAAGGCGAGATACTCTGACATTATCACTCCCAGGTCTTTCACATTACTTTTCCGCTCGACTGTATGGTTAGAATTTGTGGTATACCCTGACACATTTTTAATTTCCTCAAGTTTTCCATATCTGAGTAGTTGAAATTTCTCCTCGTTGAACTTCATATTGTTTTGAGTGGCCCATTCGAAAATTTGGTTGATGTCCGCTTGGAGTCTCGCAATGTCTTCGATGGAGGTCACTGTCATGGTGATCCGGGTGTCATCAGCAAAGGAAGACACGGAGCTATGGCTTACATCTCTGTCTATGTCAGAAATGAGGATGAGGAATAGAATGGGAGCGAGTACTGTGCCTTGTGGAACAGAGTTTTTTACCATTGTTGCCTCAGAGTTTACTCTGTTTACTATAACTCTTTGTGTTCTATTTGGCAGGAAGTTGTAGATCCATCTACCAACTTTTCACGTTATTCCTTTATCCCGCATTTTGTGTGCTATTACACCATGGTCACACTTGTCGAAATCTTTTGCAAAGTCTGTGTATATTACATCTGTATTTTGCTTATCCTCTACAACATCCAGGACCTTGTCATAGTGGTCCAGTACCTGGGACAGGCAGGAGCGACCTGCTCTAAACCCGTGTTGCCTGGGTTGTGAAACTAATGGGTATCTAGGTGGTTGGCTATCTTGCTTCTTAGAACCTTCTCAAAGATTTTTATGATATGGGATGTTAATGCTATCGGTCTGTAGTTCTTTGCAATTGCTTTACTGCCACCTTTGTGGAGTTGGGCTATGTCTGTTGTTGTTAGTGTGTGTGGGATGACCCCTGTGTCCATGCTCCCTCTCCATAAAATGCTGAAGGCACGCGATAGGGACTTCTTGCAGTTCTGATATATAATATATTTATATATATATATATATATATTATATATATATATATATATATATATATTATATATATATATATATATATATATATATATATATATATATATATATATATATGTCGTGCCGAATATGTAAAACTGCTCAATTAGCACGAACTTATTTAAAATTAAGTCCTTTCTAAAATTTTCTCTTATACGTTTAAAGATATATTTTTTTCATTAATGTTAATGTAAAAATTTTTAATTTTGCACCAAAAGAATCTTAGAAAACTTACCTAACCTTATTATAACAAGAACAATTTATTTTAGCTTAACCCAACTAAATATATTTTAGATTTGTTTACAAATATTTAATACTAAACAAACACAATGAAATATATTTTTTTCGCTAGGTTCAGAATGATTTTGGCGAAATTATTGCATACACAAATTTTCACTTGTCCTGTATGGCAAGATGAGTGTTGCTATTTAAGCCAAGATGGCAAGTTCTGCCTATCCGCACTATAATATATATATATATATATATATATATATATATATATATATATAATATATATATATATATATATATATATATATATATATTATATATATATATATATATATATATGTATGTATATATATATATATATGTATTATATATATATATATATATATATATATATATATAATATTATATATATATATATATATATATATATATATATATATATATATATATATATATATATGTATACAGATAGATAGGTGGAAAGATAGTGTGTATGTGTGTGTGTGAGGATGGTAGAAGACAGTAGTCACTCTTTCCTCCCTTTGAGATATTGGTGTGCGTCATCACAAGATGAGAAAACTAGTTTGTCTTGGATTCTTCGTTAAACTAGTGTTTATGTTTTGATGTTAGATTAGGACATGTTTGGGTATAACTGGGATACCTGCCTCCTAGCAACATGATCCCAAGATAGAATCATCTTGCTAGGAGGGCATCACCTCTATATACTTAACACTTGATATTAACTAAAATTATGGAAATATTTTACATAATTTCCTAAATGTAGAACATATAAATGAATAATATGATAAATGTGTATTAAAATGTGATGCTCTTTGGACCCTTCGAGAAATTTCAAGTGAGGGGAGTATAGAAGAGCTGCGGAGTGACACCGGGGAGAGACGCCATATTGAATTTAATGTGAAAACATTGGACTGAACTGTGCAACGTAATCGGGCGTTCTCGAAGGTCATTTGGTGTATATCGGCCTCAGTCCATAATTTAAAAATTGCTGACACGTTCCTGCTGAAGAATTAGGATAAATAGTGTGGAAAGCCTTTACAATTCGGCAACAAGGACAGGAAGATAGACGACTTCAATGAATCCTTCCCAACAACACACTTTAGCTAAGTGACGCTTACCAATAAAATACAGTAGTTTCTGCGATGGCCATCGTAAACCCTAGCTGTAGAGGTATCGTTAGGGTGTGTTCCATCAGCATTGTCTTCCAGTAATTAAATGGTAAGTGTTAATACCAATTATATTTTGTGTACCCAGGAAGCCTAATCATATACTGTCCACAACTTTAATTTACTAGAGTAGCTGGTTTTATTATTATAATTATTAATTTAATGTAAGGTCTAGCTTTTTGTGAGAGTGGTGATTTAAGTCACTGCGACCTGCTGTGACTTAAGTTCCACTTACCTCATCCAAATTACTTGCAAGTAATAATTCAGGTAATGCTCTGTAAATATCCTGCTGGTGATTTGCTCACATAATAATAATAATTCACAATAAAAATATTACCTACACATAACTCCTCGTAGAACTGGTATTAATGGCTGGATCTTTAGGCATCTACTATAATTATATATATAGTTATATTACTAGCAATTTCTACTAAAATACTCATTAACTCACTAAATTATTCTTACCTCTGAGTTAATGCTTCTGAGGAAACATTATAAAGAATACTAAATTATTTAGTCATGCATTATTCCAATAATTTCTATTTACATCCTTAGCCAATGAGATTATTAATTCCCTATTATTATTACGCAGTTGTATAATAATACTGATAATTATTTAATTTAATTATATTACTTGAATATATGACCGAATAGTGTAGCTGCTTATTAAATTAATATTTTAAGTCTTTACCTTGAAACTTATGTTATCCATCTACGGTGGTCTCGTCTTTCATAGTGTGTAGAATTGAGTTTGACAGACTTCCGGTGGAGGTTACATTATATAAACAGAAATGCAGTTATGTGGAACCATTATTGACGACGTTTCGCCCACAAATGGGCTTCATCAAGTCCCCTGACAACCCTGAATGTCATTAATGAAACAGTCATGTAACTGTATTCGTGTCTCTCTTATGTTTTCTCAGATATAACTTTGATTGGTGAACACTGTGACTGAAGACTTCTGACCGGAGGACATTGTGACTTCTGACTTCTGACCGGAGGACATTGTGACTGAAGACTTCTGACCGGAGGACATTGTGACTGAAGACTTCTGATCTGTTGACATTGTGACAGGAGGCTTCTGATCGGTGGACAGTGTGACTGATGACTTCTGTTCAATGGACTCTGTGACTGAGGATGAGTGGATGGTGGAGATGGTGGTGGGAGAAGTTCGGCAGCAGAAATATATCATCATCCAGGCTACACCTGCACGCACCCGTTGGTTCACACGATGGCGAAAACTCCGGCTAAACCACACAAATACTACTGGATCTACAACGAAATGAGTTGAGAATATAATATGAATTATAACGTATAAAGTAAACGAAGGCTTTTCCAGGAGATGAAAGACTGAATGAGGGAAGCTTAGGAGTAGGTTACTGACGAAGACAGCCAGCATAGAGCGAGTAGCCTCAGTCTGGTGCACGTTGGAGGCGAATTGATTATTTGCCCGACGACGCTGGTTGCGATACATCTGCAAGCAAGTGACAGTCATAAGAAACTACATACTCTGTGAGGTTTGAGATTTTGTTTAGTTTACGTTATTAGAGTGTAATAGAGAGAACTAGTTCCTTAATTATTACGAATGTATATAAATGTATTTATGTACAATTCAGACATATATGTAATGAAACTTTTCACCAAGAGTGGTTTTTTCTGCATTACCAGAGTAAATGTTACGGGATAATGTTACAACAGTATATCCTAAATTTAAAGACTTAAGGATAATCCCTGTGAATATTCTCAACGATCATGAGAAGTTTTATCTAATGTTTACCTGGAGTTTACCTGAAGAGAGTTCCGGGGGTCAACGCCCCCGCGGCCCGCGGAGTTTTTTTTAAGAGATATTAATCAAATATGTCCTCATGATCAGAATTTATGCTTCCTAATTACAGGTCGTACGTTACAATATTGTCTCAATAAGGACACCCTCACTTTGTGCTTCCTGAGAGGCTTCATTGTTTAATAGATGATGCATTTTACGAATTGAACGAAACTTTTTTGGGGGGTTGAGGCTGTACAGGTATTAATTCCTCTAGAGTTACTAACGTAGTTAATAAACGAGTAATTGTTGAATTCGGTGCAATAACTGGAAAATTCATCATCTGGTCGGTTTCAATCTTTTATTACTGGTATTTTTCTCAAAGGAGTTGGTGTATTCTGGGATACTGATAGCTGAAAGATAACTAGAGTATCCCTCTTCAGCTTGGCTATTAGCCTTCAGAGCTTGTTATCCTTAGCGGAAGTTTTGAATTAGTTTTAAGTTCTATAGTTTGACATTTGTACTGAAAAATTGGGATACTAGTGTCCTGACACAACCTGTGAATAACTCTTCGGATTCGTATCAGTTCTTCATCGCTAATATTTAAGTACATTACAGATCTATGTCGCACTCTGCACTATTGTTATTGCGTATATTGTTCAAGTGAATATCTAAATATTGAGGCACCAGAAACAACTACCATGTTGAGTTATCAAGACGTCACATTAAGATTTCACAACCTTCATTATCTTAACTTCACCTCCCAGGAAATCCCTGTTCATTCCTTTTTATCTATATCCTGTAAGATTTTACCAGGTCTAGGTATAAAGTATGATCCCTAGGAGGGAATTTCTAGGCAAACTATAGCCCAGAGGTGAACTTAGAGACAAATTATAATGTAGACTATCTTTATAAGTTTCTTGTTTATGCACCTGGTATCTCGTAGCAATGTTGGTACATTGTTATTAAATGATAAAGCATACCTTTTATAAGGATCCTTAATGATCCAAGATCCTACTGGACACCATGGATCGGAGGAGTTACCATCCTCATATTATTAATTAAAAATCCAACGACGCTATGGGGCATGTCCAGCCCAGAGCATAATAACGACATATAAAATACTGAGGGTTATTGACAGGGTGGATATAGGGACAGGATGATTCAGAGATGGGACACAGCAACAAGGGGTCACAGTTGGAAGTTGAAGACTCACGTGAGTTACAAGGATGTTAGGAAGTATTTCTTCAGTAACAGAATTGTCAGAAAGTGGAATAATCTGGAGAGTGAGGTAGTGAAGGCAGGATCCATACATAAGAAGAGATATGATAAAGCTCAAGGAGCAGGGAGAAAGTGGACCTAGTAGCGACCAGCGAAGAAGCGGGGCCAGGAGCTATGAATCGACCCGTGCAATCACAAATAGGTGAGTACACACACACACACATTGCCTAGGACAAAATGGTAACTAACCAACTTACACGACAAGTGCCTTTAACAACTAGTAACTAACAAATACAAACCCCACCTGCATAACGAACCTTGCTTGACAAAAAAACTGAAAGATAGACTGCAAATCACCCAGAACAAAATCGTAAGATTCATCCTGGGGCTGGGACCAAGAGAACATGTAGGCCAGGATGAATTACAGCAGTTGGATATGCTGAATGTTGAAGACAGTAAAACAACTGAAGCTAAATCATGTTTATAAAATTGCTCACAAACAGTGTCCAGAATATCTTGCTGTCAATTTTGTCAAGGTTGGGAACCAAAGCAATCATAGTACTAGGGGGAGAGAGCACAACTTTGTAGTACCCACAGTCAGTGGCCAGGCTTCAAACACCTTTTATTGTACAGCAATAAAGGAATGGAACAGACTACCCGCACATGCCAAAGCCAGTCATAGCATGAACCAGTTCAAGAAGAGTGCCAAAAGGTGTCTGATGAATGTAGCTACAGAAAGGGAGGGGAATGATTTCTATTTTTTAGCTAACATACGTGTAAATTTTACCTTATCCCTAGTAATGACCCTCGTATTGTAGATAGTCTTAATGACCCTCGTGTAGTAGATAGTCTTTTTAGTATGATAATAAGATGTTATCTTCATTGTAGAATAATAAGAAAATATTATAACCTTTATATTATAATAATAAGGTAAAAGGACCCCAATGGAAATAAGTCACTCTGTCTGACTTTTTTGGGTTATCCCAGGTTCTCTACACATATGCTGCTATGTATGATAATTCTATGTAACTGTATTTGTGTATACCTGAATAAACTTACTTACTTACTTATAACAGGCAGTTACTATTTACAAGTGCCTTTGACAACTGGTAACTAACTAACCTCTGAGTGTATAGACGGGTCAGCGTCTGTGACGCTGCTCTGATCACGAGACTGTGTACTTACAGCGAAGATCATGACAGCGTAGCATGCTAAGGTGACCAATACGGGCATCATTGTGCTGATGAAGAAGGTCAACACACGCATACTGCGCACCAGAGGATGTCTCTGGTAACCCAGGATTCGTGGTATCATCATCACCTGAACACACAAGAAATGTCTCGTAACATAACAACAGTATAATTCAATACATTTAATATAGAGGAAGTTATTATAAACCAAATGACCACAATAAAAATATGAGTTCAAGAATTATAATCTTCCCATTAAACATCTAGAACAGTCGCACATTTGTAATCGGTAGGAATAACTTTAAATATGGACTTGTACAAACATTTATGTAAAGTCAAGATCATCAAGAGAAGTTAATGACTTTAGGTTAATAATAATATCAAGGTCAGCAGGCTGTAGATTTTCTCTTTTAACATTATTTACAGTCTTCCCAGGTATTTCTGCCTCCATGTTATTTATTTTTGATATCAAGATCTGCACTAAGGAGTATGGAAAATTCCAGCTGGTGTGTAAGACTTACAAGTGTTCCTAGGACAGAGTAGAATTTCATGAAAACTACCACAGCTGCGGCTGCCTTCAGACTTAACATACGTCTGTGTGGTGACCACAGCGCCATCATCCTGCAGACACATGCGATACACAAGTTAAAACGTAGTAAACTGATTCTTGCTAATAAAGAGTGAAAATACACAACAAATTATATGTAATATGAGTTTTTGTTTAAAATGCATTATAATACAAATTATTATGTCGGCGTTATACCTAAAGAAGGACACTGCGGCTATAGCGATCAGTTCCATCCTAGCCAGTGTGCAGTATACGATTATCGTAACCTTCCTCAGAGGGCTCTTAAATGTGACTACGTCGCAGGTGAGGATGGCTCTCAATGTCTGCGCTTCAGCAGGTCTTATCACCAGACACAGCAACAGCAAGGGCACGAACACACTACTTAAGAGTACCTTCATTGCTGGTTTAGTCTTGACGCATGTTAACACACACCACAGCACCACAACGTTAGCTGTGGGAAGATAACCTACATCACTTGACATTGCAATAGATATCTTAAAATATAGAGGTCTCTCACAATTACTTTTTTATTATAATTAAAAATTAATATAGTGACAGGTGCAAAATAAGAAGAACTATCTAATGTTTGTGATAAAAAAAAACTAACAGATATTGGAGAAAATAAGTCGGTGATGATTTTAAGCTTAAAAGAACAAAAGGAAAATTATATAAATGAATGACAAGAATGATGGAGAGCAAATACAATAAAATAAGGAAAACCATGGAAACTAAAGATAAACAGCAGGAAAATGCTAGTTGTTCTTTAATAGGGCCATAACACTCTGGAAAAAAAAATCATTAAGGTGACATTTTCGTATTACGGATCCCATCACACATAGGATTTATCCTTCATGATAAAGTTGATATGTTAGCCAAGAAGAGTACCCAGAAGGAGAATGTAGAATATAACTTTGGTATATATGTGTCTAGTATTAGGAATAATATTAGTGTGAAGGCTTACTCAGCCCTGTAACAACTTCAATCAGTATTACCAAGGCTGGCTCCTCCTCAGGAAAATTAATGAATAGAAAAAGAAATAATAACAGACAATGATAAACACTTTATTATTTAGAAACGGAAAATGTAAAACAATAAAACATGAATGGGTATCCTAATTGAAAGAAAAATGAAAAATGAAATGAAAAAAATTACATTTGAACTCAACGCTAATATAGGTATATCGTGGTAATGGGGTGTCAGGTGTTGGTGACACTGCATGTTGTTGAAATTGTAGCCGTTGCTGATGTGGGGGGGGGGTAGCAGGTGTTGGTGACCACCACCGGCTCGTTCTTCACAGAGTATAGCCGTGAATAATTACTTCAGATGACAGGAAAACAGGTTCGTTACCACTGCTATGATGAGGGGTTAGGTCCTGTGTTGGCTTACATAACAGGTAAGTAGATTAAACATGGGACGTCTCAGGAAGTTAGTCCGTCTCCTATTCTACTCGTTGGTTGGCAGGTGACCCACTCTGTCATTCCAAGAGTAGTGCTGGGAGCTGTGAGTCTAGTGATTTACTGTTTGGCCGGAGCCCCACACGTCACCTTTGGGGGGGGGGGTAAGGGATAGCGGGAGCTGGACTTACCCTACCTTAACAAGTAGCCGGCAATGAAACTATTGTTACTATATACTCCCTCACTACTCCTATCTATTGAACTTTTCCCTCACAATTAGGAGAGAAGTAAATAATGAAAATGATTGTTATAGGAATGCAGTTAGAAGCCTGAGTAGATCTATAACCCACTATGATAACATGAACGTAGATAAGTGTGTTTATGGAGCAACTTGCAATGTGAACAGACTGACTGATGTTGTAGTGGCCAGGCTTAGGCTTGGTTACAAGTACTTCTGGCAGTTTGGGAGACACACAGATGATGATCAAACTAAATGTAAATTATGTGATCAGGCATATGGTCACTCTCTTGAACACTATGTGCTTAATTGTCCACTTATTGAGGAATACAGAGACAGACAGTATAATAACCTATGTGACATGTCAAGATCTCTTATTAATGAAAATAAGATACCAGATATACTAAGCAAATTTCCTAAATTTGCTTGTAACAGATAAGTGAACTATAGATATGTAGATATAAACCAATATGTACACCTGTTAACCCTTTTGAGGCCTAGTTCCTAGGCCCTTTGTATATTCATATGCTCTTGCGATACCGTCCACAGGATGGATATGGGGCGCACAGTAAACTAGGCACTTCGGTGGCAAAATCTAAAATTATGTGAGACAAAAAAAAGCAAATTATGAAAGAAAAAAAAATTAAAGTTCTCAATCAGGTATGGGTAAAATATCTGTAATGATTTTTGAACTGCTAGATGAGCAAAAACAAAAAAAAAAAAAAGGGAATCAGGGAATTACTGACAGCTGGATGAACAGAAAGCCAAACAAAATGAACTGAAAATTTTTAGTAAGACTGAATGACCCACCTGACCTCTCTTCATGCCACCGTCACACTCTATACCCCATCCATTTCCTCCCATTCCTTCTCTCCCTCACCATCCAGACTCTCTACCCTCCCCATTCCCCTATCTTCACTCCAACATCCCAGCATCCTACTGGACTTGTTATTGCTCTTCCAAAGACTTTTCATTCTATTAACCACCCTAGTCTATCTTAATCTCTAGGAACTCAACGGTAACATATAAAGATATTTTCAGGCATATCTTAGTAACAGACAACAGCATGTAGCCATAAATGACACCTCGTCTAACCTTACCAAGGAATTTAAGTGTCCCTCAAGATAGCATTCTGGGTCCTCTTCTTTCCCTCATCTACATTAATGACCTACCTGACGCTTCCCATCATCTGAAACATCTACTCTTTGCTGACCACACAAACTTAATAAAATCAGGCCTAGACCCATTGGTGCTTATGCACCATTAACTAACAATGAATTAAGAAAGGGTCACACCTGGATGATTACAAACAAATAGCCTATATAATTCTTGTGAACAAACCACGTCCACATTATTATTATTATAATCAAGGGGGAAGCGCTAAACCCGGAGGATTATACAGCGCCTGGGGGAGGGGATGTGGAAGGCATTCAGGCTTAATTCGGGGAACTGGAGCACAGATCCAATTCCCTAAATCAAGAGCCCCTCACCAATATCAAGGAACCTTCCTTGAGGGGACCACGTCCACAAACATTAAAATCAATGAAACGAAAAGCAAGACGAGGGGGAAATGCCTAGTTCTAATTGCTCATAGCAAACTGAAATCTAATCGTCATATCCAACATATATAAGCAATAGCATGTAAGATTGAAAGGCCTTCCATACGAGATGTGTACTTCGAGATCCATTTTGACGACCCACATCAAACCAACCATCTCTCAGCAAAAAGCAGCCATCACTACAGTCACCAACTCCAATTATAGACAACAAACTATTCCCTTATTTAAGTCCCTATACATACTAAATATAAATACAATTTATACGTACCAGTGATTACTCCACATCTTTAAAACACTACACTGTAATATTAATCTAAGACATTTCCTGGGAAAATGCAACATGTTCGAATACACAGGTAATACACAGGTAATATACAGGTAATACACAGGTAACATACCTCTCTGATATCCCTCGTGTCGGCTGAACATCTACAGAAATTCTTCCAAAAATGTGAAATAATTTATCGGACGAAATTAAAAATTGTAATACAGTTACTGACTGTAAGCGAAAGCTAAAATAAATATTATGTACTTAAATACCATAGTCTAATACTGCACTCTAATTGTGTCTAAGTTGTCATAAAATACAATTATTGAATAATCTCGAAGTGTAAAATATTCTTTGATGTAAAAACTACCATTAAACCTTTTCCAGTTGGCTAATTACTATTTTAAATTTTTCATGGATGATCTTTTAAATTGTATCTTGACCATGATTCTCACCTTCGTGTTATTGTTAGATTCATAAGTATAAGAACTCTACAACTGTCTCTATAGTGTCAAGTCTTAATTCCTTCTACTCATCCTAACAACTGTTATGAAGTCTTAACTGAAGAGCTAAGTTAGGCTAGATAAGATTAGTCAGGAAACATGACAATGTTTCTCGAAGCGGGTCTTCAGTCATATGACGACCTGCAACTGGAGTTTTAGTCATTTAACCGAGACCTTCCACTGGCTTACGCGTCCACCCCTTTAAAAAAATTATATTTTTAACTGAACAACTCCGTTACATCTATTCAATTGTTTACACAATAATGTATTTTATTCGTGATTACAAAAAAATAAAATGATTAAGACAGATGTGCAACAAATGTTCTATTTAAGCAGTCATCAATATCAAAATACATCTAAAGTACACAAATAAACAACAGTTTTACAGTTCTTAACATAACATTTATGCTAACGTAATTTTTATGGTGAAAAATGGTATAAAATACCGACAAGTTGATGATTAAGACACACGTTCATTACTATATTATTAATAATAACACAGATCTCTCCTGCACTCCAGTTTATCACAAGTCACGTCTTCACTGAGTTGAACCAACTTATTTAGTTTCACATTCCCAGGTTGGAAAAAAACGATTTAGGAAAGAAACCGAGTATAATGCCTGCTGCTTATAGCAAATGCTGCAGCTGGCCTGCCAGCCAGCTGGTACTGCCGTTCTGGCGCCATCTTTCCTAGTGGAGAACTGCTTCTGGCAGTTTGCACATTTCATGTCTTTTTCTTTTCATTTAGTTTTTAATATTCTGTTCATTATTCTTTATCTTTAACTCTGAAAATTTATGTGCAGCCTTGTTTTGGTGACACTGGTGACACCTGTGGCGGAGGTATGGACCGCTACACTGGTGACACCTGTGTCGGAGGTATGGACCGCTACACAGGTGACACCTGTGTCGGAGGTATGGACCGCTACACTGGTGACACCTGTGTCGGAGTATGGACGCTACACTGGTGACACCTGTGTCGGAGGTATGGACCGCTACACTGGTGACACCTGTGTCGGAGGTATGGACCGCTACACTGGTGACACCTGTGTCGGAGGTATGGACCGCTACACTGGTGACACCTGTGTCGGAGGTATGGACCGCTACACTGGTGATACCTGTGGTGGAGGTATGGACCGCTACACTGGTGACACCTGTGTCGGAGGTATGGACCGCTACACTGGTGACACCTGTGTCGGAGGTATGGACCGCTACACTGGTGACACCTGTGTCGGAGGTATGGACCGCTACACTGGTGACACCTGTGGTGGAGGTATGGACCGCTACACTGGTGACACCTGTGTCGGAGGTATGGACCGCTACACTGGTGACACCTGTGTCGGAGGTATGGACCGCTACACTGGTGACACCTGTTGTCGGAGGTATGGACCGCTACACTGGTGACACCTGTGGTGGAGGTATGGACCGCTACACTGGTGACACCTGTGTCGGAGGTATGGACCGCTACACTGGTGACACCTGTGTCGGAGGT